TCTAGACAAGAAAATGAGAAAGCTGCAGTTTTTCATGATCTGGAATACGCTGAAACCAAGTTTCGACGAGTCCGGGACGACATGTTAGACAACGTGAGGATGAATTTCAGAAGAATCGAAGACGTCTTTAATGGATGGAATAAAGAATGCATGCTGATGAACGACTCGTCTGAAAAGGGGCCAGCCCTTCGGAGGAAGATAAAAGAAACTTTAGAAGGATTAAAGGAGGTAGATGAGCTTGGAAAACATCTCAATAGAAAGTTCGACCAAGTTTTGAACACCGGAGGACATTACAGTTGAGGCAGGTTGACCTGAGACAATAACTGGAAGTTTTTTAACCCCTTTTACGGAGGTTCAAATAGATTCCTTTACTTAATTTTCCAACAATCAATTCAAAAGTTGATCGAAAAAACCGAATTTTTCGAGTCATTCCTTAAAAATGGTATCAGAAATGCTTAATAAATAAAGTGTGGAGGCGACAATCCATTGAAAGATTGGTGTTTGAAAATAAAAGCACTTTGATCGACTTGGTTAAAGTTGCAAGGTAATTACCTTGCATGATTGTGTGGATGACGGTGAAAACAGTTTACGGTGTAAAATTATTGAATTGCCTTCAATATGAATAGACGGTTTACTGTTGGTCGATGCAATAAAGCGCAACTTAAACTTTTGTTAAGTGAATATGGTTTGTCAAAAGTACCAAAAACTTACGGGAAAACGGCAAAATTTCAGGCCAAGAAATGTATAAAGGGTTTGACTCACGTAACCAGCGGCCAAATTTGTTGGTGGGAGTAAAAGAAAAGACTAATCTTCTGGAGCATAGGTTTGCACCACTAATATAGCGCCGATTTTTATGGTTCTGCATTGCCAGTAATATATTATGTCCGGCTTGAAGTCACAGGCAAACTATCTATAAGAGAGCTGAAAATTTCCCGTTTTTCCATCTGGAATAAGAATTTTGTGAATTTAAACTTAAATTCTGCTCCGGAAGAGAAGATGGCAACAGAAAACGACAGGTGCATTTGCTCCCTTCTCACGCATTCCAGTCGAAAGAGTAGTTCAACTATAAAATCCTTATCACCGAGACAATTTCCTTACTGCTCTTCGCGGTTGTGATCGAAGTCCAGTTTTTTAGAGTTTTCATGAAGTAAGACTTAAACTTAATAGTAGAATAGTCAGTCAAATCAAATTTAATTTAAAGCGGTTGGAAAAAGACATTATTGCACTAAACATACATCTAATTGAGTGTCCTATTATGTGACCGGTTGGGTATTCCATGGTATACCACTCCAAAGCGTTGCACAACTTGTGTATATACTGGAGGACGCAAAATACGTATGGCACCTGTATGCGTTAAACAGGGCCTATACAAATATGCATTGCTTTAGAAAGTGTAATAAAGTGTAACAACAGGGAGTTGACATTTCCCTCCTTCAAAGTGTTGCATTCTACCAGACGAAAAGGTCATCGCAAACTGTCTTTTAGGTCATTGCACTTGATATAGTTTTGAATTGCAAATTGATTTCTTTCTCTGGGTTATCAGGTCGAGTTCACACGCTATTGTATATTGATATTAGACATTACTGTCAGTATCTCACATCCAATTGGCTGAAATCCAATCGGCACATAGTTGTGACTTCCATAGCCAAATAAGCTGGAAGTATGGGTCCAAAACCCGTCCAAACCTAAAGTTCTCTGTCAGTATTTACGAGTCAGAAGATACATTTAATATATTTGTGTTAATAGTTAGTAGGACATGTGTCAATCATACAAATGCGATCTGAGGAAGATGTGATCCACGACCAAACTTCAAAAACAAAATCTTGATACATAGAGATTTTTTACTTCATAAACTTAGCTTAACTTTCTTAAATCCCTTCATTAAAAAAAAAA